CCAGGGGGGAGTAGAAATACTCCTAGTCACTTCATGCTACAGAAACTGGGATAAGCTCCAGCCTGATGGGCCACTTGGCTCGCATGCAGACTTTACCCTACTTACCTATCATTAACAGAAGAATCAAGTGCCAGTTAATGAAGCACCTCCGTGTTGTTGTGCAAGAAAACATTCAGTTTTCCCGAAAGTTCTGCGCACACAGTATAACTATAAATTTCAGGTTGACCTTCACCAACTGCTCTGACTTTCAATTTTCATTTCAAGTGAAAAAGAAAACTTTGATTGAATGGTGAACTTGTTTTGCAAGCAGACTTTCGATTAAGATTCCTGATTTGAACGCTGTTAAAAGACCATTTTGCTAGATTGTGATGAGGATTTCTCAAAGACTAACTAGATTTGCCATGTTTGAAAAGTCAATAAATAGTCTTGCACGTGCTTCGTGCTGCTTGCATGTTTTCCATGTATGAATTGAGAAGTCAGTCACTGTAAATAGACTTTTGATGGTTTCCTTTTCGTCTGTTTTTGAGATAACATGTACATGTACTTTGTGTGTATATACTAATTAAAAACAGTTATTCTTTTCAATTTCAGTGAATACATATAGCGGCAGAATATTGACTTTGCCACTTCACGGCTCGGTAAATATTCTGCCCGTATTCACCTCAGTTTCAAAGATTAATTGTTAACTATTTTGCTCTCCAATTATTACTCTCAAAGTTGAGTTCAGGAAGCTTACATCATCCAGCATGTATGTGCAGTTATCTGGTTTGGCTCCACAATATCAGTATTTTCAGTCTTTGGCTTTGATTATAATTTCATTTGTCTTGTAATTCTTTGGAATATGCAACTTTAGAGCAAACTGCAGAAAGATTATTTCTCAGAAACACTGTGCCTAGTTTGCTTTTAGACTCCATTTAGTTTTTCCATTTTTTGTTTCACACCAAATACTTCCTGTGACATACCGATTTTAAACTTTAAGGTAAAGTGAAAAAATGTCTTAACCATGGAAATTTGTCGTTTTTCTTTCAGTAAGTCTTAGATAATTGTGCACATACATGTAGTGCTGATTTTCATCTTAATTAAAGTTTGTTTTTTATTTTTGTAGGTGGCACTCCCAGAGGCTAACTTTGTTTGTCATGATGTCTTCCATTTACTTGTCTATCAGGCATCCAGGTACACTGTAAATCACAAACCCTGTTATATTTTATCTTGTGTTTATATATTTTGACACAAGTCAAATTATTCTATTACAAGACAGACACATAGATGACATCAATATAACAAATATTTTTATTCTGTTTTTTAAAATGGCGGAAAGTTTTGAGAACTTATATAATATTTTACGTGACTGGGCGAAGGATAAGGAAGAAAAATGTCTTGACAAGGCTGTTAATGGGTATGAGAAGCAGAAAAAAGAAAGAAAAAGGCGTTTCGTCTATGGAAAATGTCTTGGAAAAAATACTTGAGCAGTATCAGTCGGCAGTCAAGTGAGACTAACCAAACACAAAATTGGTCTTGAAATTGTTTCAAGGAAAGAAGCTATTGCTTTGCCTTGAATTTAACAAACCCAATAAGCAAAATGTGTATAAGATTAATGTAATTTTATAAAATCAACTTTTCCCAGTCTCAAAATAATTGTTTACTCAGATTGGTGTCAGGAGAGAAACATCACAATAAACACATAACCTTGCTTTCTGGCACGAATGGTCTACACTGTAGTCTGTTTTGGGGCACAGCAGCGAGCAAAATATAGCTCACTACAGCTCACAGTCATCTGTATTGCAGCTAGAAATAATTGTCTCCAACACTATATCAAATGCCCTTGAGAATCGTCAACCACAGAGGACACAAATTTCCACCATCACTAATGCTGCTTTCATTCAATGCTTGAATCAAATGGCTTCCAATGTCTGTGTTGATGTTGACCACAACCGCAAGTTTTCTGAGTAGCTTTTTCACCTCTTGCAATATTCCAGTTTTTTTGGCTGACAGTGGTACTCTGATGACAAAACCTGACTTGGCTTTTCCTATTTATTTTGTATAAGATCTTTAGATTTCGCAGTTCAATTCTGCTCTCACTGTAAGACAACAACCACAAGTGTTGCTTGATTCAAGTTTGACAGTGACCTGATTTCCATGAACCAATCACAATTCTTTGCTATGCCTGGCAACCAATCAGTTTGCTCCATTTTGTATAGGTAATGGTGAGGTCAAATTGTTATTTTTGTGTTTGTCAAAGTGGGTAAAGGCCCGGCTTTCGAATTATGTTTAAAGATTTTGAGTATTGTTTGTTTCTTTATTGTATAAAACAAATAGATTCCATGTTGCCGTGCATCTGTTCAGTAATTGATCACAGAGGACATTAAAATGTGGTAAGAACATCAGTGACATACTCGGCTATATCCTTGTGTCCCACTTTTTTGTTCTTACCACATTTTGACGTCATCTTTGATCTATTACTGAACAGATGCACGGCAACATTGAATCTATTTCTGACACTGTAAGTAGACATCAACCAATCTTACAATGTTTTTAAGCGCACTATGATGAAATTTGGGTTTTTCCTGTGAAAAAGATGAAAGAGACGAAAAATGCTGTTTACTATCAGAGGCTTCAATAATTTCCATAGCAGGCAGGCATCAAGGTAGAAAAAATACAAGCTAGCCTGGGGACATGCACGCCCCCCTCCCCGGAAAATTTTGAAATCCTAGACCTATAGAGATATATTTTCCTGCAATTTGGACCACAAAATCAGTACTCTTAACTGCCTACAAGAGATCATTGTATAGTTAACTAAATCATATTTTAACACTATTTTGAACAACAGATACATCTTTTACTGGTTAGTACATAGACAGACTGTATTACAAAAAATTATCATCAGTATTCCATAGTTTCCGGCCTTGGTAGGTTTGTAGCAAAAACAAACTTGCAAGAGTTTTTTAGTTCTCTGCTTTTTAGTTAACCAGAGTGAAAAAAGGGTCTTTACCAAACCATGGGAGCAGAGTTCTGCATTTATACCATAAAGAGACCTGCGTGATGTGCAAGTTGGTTTTCCATCATTTTTAAAGGGAATTAATAGCACAGAAAAAAGCTTTTCAATGTCCCAGAGTATTATGAAACTGAGCATGACAACAATGATTCCATGTTTGACTGCAAAAGTGGCTTTCATCAGAGTGAAGATAAATGTAATATTGTCATATTTATGTGACATCCATCATGATTTACATTTATTATGTTTTTGCTCAAACAGAGTACATTATCAGCTATTATTTTTCTATTTGTGCCATTGGTTTTGTCGCTTTTGTGTGTAATGGACTATATTATAATTATTACATTCACATGTTGTGCAAGAATGTTTGGGTGGTATCAAATAATGTGACGTCAGATGAATGTGATGTATTCTTGGTTTTCTTGTGACGTAGTCATATTTCAAAAAAAATTACTTTTTTTCAGAGGTTTTAGTTTTATCAGGTATAAGACCCTTTAGGAACTTGATGTTTAATAATGTTTTGGCTCAACAGGGTTTTCGTTTTGTAACAGGACAAGCTTTTGTGTTGCATGACATTAATGGCGGCCCGAGAAGGTTGGAGTGTAGGTCAAAAGATGAGTTGTGGCTTTAGTTTTTGCTAACTGAACAATTTTTTCACTGGAAGAAGTATTAATTTCAAGGTGTTGGAACTCTAGAGTAGTAACTTTTCGTTTCAACAGCAAAACTCAATGACAGATGTTTCTGTTACTATACAGCTGCCATATTTGTGCCCCCTCATCGGGCACCGATATATTATAATATGGTGTCTCTATACAAAGCTCTATAAATTTGTGTGGAACACTTCAGTCTCCTAATAACTCGCAAATGAAAAACTGAAGAAACCTAATCCTTGGGCAATTCTCGGGCAAACAAACAACTTCAAACTGCTCAGTTAACCTAAATGTCAAGCTGACAACAAACAAAACTTGTGGTCGGTAAAAGCCTTTCCCAAAGCTAGTTAAGCTTAAATTTGGATCAGTTTTCCAAAGAATTGAAAACAAACTGCACATGGTTAAAGCTTTTGGTGGCTTCGGAACTCTCTGTCCTTCACAGCCTCTTCGGCAAAAGAAAAGAACAAAATGGAACCAGGCATTTCTTAGAAGGGAGAGTGGAGAAGAAAGTGAACAAACAGCCGTGGCTTTGAGCTGTTTGAAATGCTATTATTCAATAGCAGGTTTGTGGGTTTTGTTTTTTTTTCCACTTCGTAAATTAACAAGTTGCAGGTCTAAGGCTGAACTTGAACACATGAATGGCTTTTAAAAATGATCTCTGTCACTTTCATTATTTGGTAAAATAAGCTTAAATGAACTGAAGACTGAGGCTTAAAGTGCCCATAACATCAAATTGTTTGCTTTCCCATCTGATTCTTCATAACACCCAATTAACTTTCTCGAAAAAATTTTCCGATTTGCATAAAACGCAAATTTTTTTACAATTTTTAAGACGTTCAAATTTGCCGCCATTTTGGTCCACCCTTCGCACCAGTCTTCCTCGGTTTGAAGTGAGTAGTGACATAGGTTCAGGAACATGTGATTTGGGTCATGACTTATCTGACTTGAAAACAAGTGGGAATTTTGCTTCTGAGTTGTCTACATTTAGTTGAAAATCCTGGAAAGGTGCGTTGCTGCTCTTTGTAACACACGATGTATGTGTTTATATCCACTAAAGGTCAAGTGAGGTTCCTGAACCTGTGTCAGAGGCATCAATCACATGGCCATTTTGAGCATGTTATTCTTGTGATCAGCAGCAGGGTTCAACCGCAAGAAAATAGAATTTTGAACTTTGTAAAAATTCGTTAAAAAATTGAAAATTTTTTTCGCAGAAGCTCGTTAGGTGAAATGTAGAATTAGATTAGCGAAAAAAAATTTGACGTTATGGGCACTTAGAAGGAAAATGTCAGAAATGTAAGCTTATATTTGTGCACGATGCAGTGGTTCCTTCAAGCAGCTGTTTCTTCAATTTCGAGGTCAATTTCAAGAGTTCAGTTCGCATTCCACAGTAGGAAAAAAGATGGCAGCTGTACATTTTAGCAAAATGCCTTGCGAACCTAACACAGCCTATAAGGCACAAAGAAAGCCTTTTTTTACAATATTTGCCCCTGTACTAAGCACATTGAGTAGCCTAGATTTGAAGAGTTTATAACATTTCAAATCAAGTAGGAATTTTACTCAGAAAAGAACTCAAAGTATAAAATGTGTAAAACAAAAATTTCCAAGACTATTTTGGCCGCTAATTTTGTGTACATAGCTAATATAATGTCTGTGAAGGATTCATGCATTTCAAGAGACACAATCAGTAGGCATACATTTCTCAATGCTCAAGGGTTTGCAATGCATTATAGGGCGATTTCAAACACGATCAGCCATTTGCAAGTTTTCCGATGTGAGGGAATCAATTACAGCTAAGCAAAAGGATAGATTGCTTTCTTTTCTTATGTTGAATGTTATAGCAGCAAAGATCTTTCAATATGTAGTTCTGGAAGGACATAATTTCTGAGAAAATAACTGTTATTGATCGTCAACACAGAGAAACGTAGTCGCTATTATATGGTAGCCTGTGAATGCAGACGTATTTTTGGCTGTCGACTAAACCAGAATTTTTGGCTGCCAAAGATGAAATTTTAGCCGCACTGGCGACCATACTGGTCGCAATTTCGAGTCTTGTAACAATGTATCTAAACAAATTTTATGGATGGACAATAACTTGGTGTTGGTGAAATGTTTGGACATCATGTCCGATCATAATGTGAAATTGGCTGGACATATTCAAAATTTGGTCGGACAATGTCTGATGACCGACTGTTTTTTCCAGCCCTGCTGCAGTAAATTGGTTTTACAGATTACAAATGGGTTTGTTTACGCTACTCTTGTCATTGAATTGGCTTGCGCGCTGTCTACTAATGATTTGTAAAAAATCTCGGCAACGAGTGAGTAACTCAGATAATAGACAAAGAAAGATGTATTAAAAAACAGATTTTTTTCAAACTACTTTGTGTTAGTTGCATTTATTTCACCAGTTAAGCTCTCCAAAATTGTTTTTGCAGTGTGAAATTTCTTGCGAAGTTTGAAGTTTTACTACAAAAACAATTTCTGTCAGTCGTTGCTTTTAAAATCACTTTGTCACTCTTCTACCGTATATTGAA